CCCTTGATAGGAACTGATTGGAAGCTGTGGAACAGTCTCCCTACAGCCCTTCCTGAGGAATGCTCAGCTCCCTGGCTCCCAGCCCTGGGCTGGATTAGGCCAAGCATGCTGACCTTTTGGGTGCAGCACGGAGCCCATCTGCTCTGGCAGCAATCTGGGAGCCTGAGGCAGCAGAGTGAGATTTTCGTGATTTCTCATCACCTTGGGCACCTTGTGTGGGACATGGGCCTGGAACAAGGGCCAAGATAAGGCTTTAAAGTCTGAATTTGAGACATTTTGGCAGAAACACTGATTTTGAAGCAGCAGATAATGCTCCCTCTGAAGGTATTGAGCTCCTTGGAGGGTGTCACACCTTCTTGCAGCCCTGGTCCCCCAAAATCAGGAGTTAGTGCCCGTGGTCTGAAAAGGCAGAATGCTTTCCTTTCTTTCAGAAACCCAAAGCTTTCTACATTTTAACTCTTTTTAAAGATCTGCTCTTAGCAAAGAAACTGAGTTCTAGTTGAGCACAATAAATCTGGAGCAGGTGAACAGGGGAGAATTGCCAAGCCACTGACGCTCCCTAAGTGGCTCCCAGCCAGGTGTCCTCTTCAGAGGATCTTATTTTTGATCAGTTTCGTTTCCTGGCTGTTCTTCCTAACAGCTTACATTGATTAAACTCAGTGTTGTTACAATAACAACAGAACAGGAAATGGATGCTTGTAAAATGGAACACAAATATACCCCTTTTACCTGTGCAGGTTCTCTGCAGGTAGTGCTGAAGGTGCCTTCTCAAACTGGTATCATGGCAGGAGATAAAAGTCAGGGTTAGCAGGGTTCTTTGGGTTACAAGACCGAGTTGTTGCACTTCCATGTTTGTTCATACTTTCATAAATATTTCTGTCTCTCTTTAAAAATGAATGGAGGGGTTTTAAGTTTCTACTCCTCTTGGAAAGCTGCTGCAGAGGCCAGTTCCTGGGGCAGCCCTTCGTTAAATTTTCTGTCTAGGCCTCTGTGTGTCCCATCTCATGGTCTTTTCTTTTTCCCAGCAATATCCACTGCCACAGGCAGTTCTCCCTCTCTGCTGCTTTTCTCCTCGGGTATTTAAAGCTGGGGATCAGATGTCCATGCAATCTTCATCCTGTCAGGCTCTTGGAGGCTTGTCCCATGAGATAATAGTCTTCCCAGGATCACTCCCATATCCTTTTGCTGTTTCTGTTCCAGGCTGGATTTATCTTTCTTGAACACAGGTGATGGAAACCAAACACACTGCTGTAGTGAAGATCTTACAGAAGTATCTCCTCTTCCCCAGATATCTCATCTGGCTCATTTTGGAGTTAAAATGGTGGGGTTTTTTAAGGTGGGCTACTTGATTTTGGTAGCCTGAGACCTCATTTAATCATTCAGTGATTACCATATGGTTTACTTCTGCCATATCTCATTTCTCAATCTCCTGTTTTCCTACAGGTTGTACAATTCCTTTGGTAATGGCAATCTGACTCAGCTTTTTGTTATCATCAAATTCTGATGGCTCAACTCTGGTTTTACTGCCCAGCGTTTTAATTAAAGACATATAAAATTAATCTCAGTTGGAATCCTGAGCAACTATGTTAATAAACTTCCTTGAACCCACTTGCCTATTTTATCTCCAACCACCTCTGGGACCCTCTTGTACAAGCCCTGCATTTGTTAGTGAAGATACTACTTCTCTTTGCAGAAGTGGAGAATCCATACAAATTTCTGGTGAATGACATTTCCCTTGTCTAGAAAATCCATTATCTTATTGAAAAGAGATTAGCCACAGCAAAATCTTTTCACATTATCCCATTTCCCTGTATCTCTTCTGCTTTATTTTCCTAAGCTGTTAAAATCTGTTTAATCAAATTTTCTTCACAATTCTTAAATATAGGTGACAATTTTTCATGCTAAGTTGGTTTATTAAAACCTTTGCTCTGGGGTTTCTGTGATAAATCATCTTGTTTGTGACATGGGATTAATTTCTTACAGGATTGTCATAGTTCCAAATTTTCTGCCTGAATTTCCCTCCCTGAGTCCTGCTTTCAACAATTTGAGGATTTGCATTCATTTTCCTCTATGGAGTCAGAGTTACCATTTCATAAAGGCAAATCTTGCTTTCCATGAACACGGAGATGTCCTTTGTCTAATCCAGGAGGTGCCAGTGGATGGGGACACCTACACAGAGAGATGGATCTGCACTCTTCACAGCAAGTTTATTTTACCAAATACAGAGTATCCAGACATCAACCCAGCCCTGTTTCTTCTGAGAATTCAAAGGTCAGGCAAACAGGGAGGGAAATGCTGCTCAATACCATTCCAAACAGTTTTAATGACAATGGCCTTCCATACCTGCCAGTGGGCCTTTTAATTTTTTTTTTCTTTTTAGCTCTCTGGCATTGTTAATCTTTTTTTTTTTCCTCTTATCCTATCTGTTTATTTTTGTTGCAGATTTATTAGGTTCACAGTTAAGTGCCATTTAGCTTTGCAGAACTGTCATCGCCAGCACTTTATGAATGGGATCATTCACTGACAAACTATTTAAACACTAAAAGGGGGGAAAATTTACTGCTCCAGGTCAATGAAGAAGCCAAGATCAACTGAAACTCAGCTGTGTTTCTCCTTGAATACAGGAATATGACGAAGGTGTTCAGAGTTTTCTTTAATGTATTCTCATCCTTAATTTATCCTCACACGTCAAACAGAATGACACTCTGTTTTGCAGTGCGACTTTTCCTAAAACAATGCCTTTTTTTTCCTGACAGCTTGCAAGAGCCCAGAGATCTAAAAATACGGCTAAACAGGCAGTCACACACCTGCTAATAAAGGCTATGGATAAGCTGTGACCAGTCATGCAGTCACTGACAACAAATTCCAGACAGGGAATATTTTTTGATAAAAAGTGAGGAGAGTTCTGCGGATCAAATGCAATCCTGTATGTGGGAGCCTGGGAGTAGGTCTCCTTTCATAATATGGAAAAAAAAAATCTTACTATATTTTAATATTTCAGACCCACAGCTGCCACAAGTGTAGGTGTGTTCTTTCTTTGGCCAGTAGACATTCACAAGAATCCTCATTGTCAGGGAGGGGAGGCCCTGGCACAGGGTGCCCAGAGAAACTGTGGCTGCCCCATCCCTGGCAGTGTCCAAGGCCAGGCTGGATGGGGCTTGGAGCAGCCTGGTCTAGTGTCCCTGACCATGGCAGTGGGGTGAAATGAGCTTTAATTCCCTTCTAAGACAAACCATTCTGGGATTCTGTGATTCTGTATCAGAGCTGGACTTCTGCCTTGGTCGCCTATTTCACCTATGCAGCCTGGCATTAATTCCATGGGTCAGAATGGTTGTTACAAGTGGATATCTCTGCCCTCATTCAGTTTCCTAGCCCAGAAAAGTTCTGCAGGAAGCTGTATTTTCCTCATTCCTCTTGCAAGGGAATTGTCTCCTTTTTTTTTTTTTTTTTTTTTTTAAGCCTTGTAATGTACATAACCTTCAAACAATGGTGCAAGGTTGTCTGTTTGCTTATGTGATTTCATGTGTTCAATCATGTCTTTCACATCCTAATCTTTCAGAGTTGTCTTTAATTCCTAGGGAGGGTGGAAATATATATTTATATGTGTGTGTGTGTGTGTGTGTGTGTGTGTGTGGGGCTGGATGAGCTCCAGGAGTGCAGCCAGTGGGGACTGTGGGGTGTTCAGTGAGGGACCAAGGTGGCCTCAGCTTTCTTGGTTCTCATGTCTCTGATGCTCTGACCCTCTGAATTCCACTGTTTTGTTCTCAAGTGAAATTTTCCTCTCCACCTGATCCCAAGATATCACCAGGCTTACAGCTCATTATACATGTGGGGATCAAGTTGTATTGTAAAAATCAAGTTGTATTGGTAAAAGTGACAATTTTATATATTTTTCTGTCCAGCAGTTCCACATTGCTGTGGAAGCTTTTTGACGTATCCACTCAGATTTGGAATTAATCCTCCTGCACTTGGAATATTTGCATGTAGGTATTTGAGAGATTTAAATGGACACCACTAACCCCTATGGGGTTTTGTTTCTTAACATACCTTAGATTAACTATCTGTGGAAGAAGATGAGACACAAAGGATTCTTTTTTGTAGCAATCTGCTTTTACTCTCTTTACAGGGTGAAATCAAGAAAACAAGAACTCCATGGCTATGATTTTAATGCTTTGACAACTTTATTAATGCAGAACTTTTAAGTTAGGCGAAGTGCCCATTTTACAGATCACAGAAGCTAAAGGCACAAAGAGATGAAACACAATTCTCAAAATAACAAAGACAAAAGTGACAGGAGTGCAAACCCCAGGGATCCTCTCTGAGAGCAGTAAGAGTATGGACATGAGTTCAGCTGCTCTTAAGAAATGTCTTTTTATTCCTTTGAGAGGCTTTGACTGGAGTTTCTCTTAAATTCTCCCAAATTTATGTGCTTTTGATGCACTGGGAGATATTTTAACAGCCTTTATTTTTACCACCTGCAATTCAGCAGGTGCAGGATGGGAGCAAGATGGAGAATTCAGGTCTGGAGTGGATCATGACACCTCACAGCTGAGTGAATTTTGCTGTTAGGGGTGAGCTGGGGAAGGCACCCAGAGCTGAGTGTCAATAAAATCACCCAAGTGCCCCTGTAGGATTGTTCTTCAGAGAACTGTCTAGAGAGGTTCAGCTTGAAACCACCAGCTCTTAGTGTCTGAAGTCGGATCTCTACCCCAGTGAAGCTTTGCTGTGCAGTTTGGGTCTGAGCCACTTCAGACATCGCAGGTCCCACCGCTATGTTGCTGTAACTCACCTCCAGAGCACTCGTCATGTTCTTTAGCCCAAAGAGCCAATACCAGTGGATTTCACTAGGATTTAATGTCATATTTTCTTGATGGAAGTTGATAATGATTTACATAATTTTGCTTCTCCTCCAGTTTTGGTTGGCAGTTGGTTCACTTTGTCAAATTTTTGTTGCTTTTATGGTATGCAAAAAATGAGCCCTTCCAGGACTGACAAATCAAAGGTGAGGAAATGAACTTTTTTTCCACTTTTACTTTTTAAAATTAAAGCAGATATTTTAATTCTCATTTTGATTAATTAAATTAATTTTCATTTTGACAGTCTGTTGGCCAACGCTACACAACAGCAGCTTGAAACATTTCTTCCTTTGAATGGGCTTCATCCTATCTGACTTGGACCATCTTAAAGTTTGTTGTTAAGTCTGAGCTGATCATCTCCTTCCATCTGTGGCCAGTGTGGAGAATGACACAATTTATCCTGTCTCCTGCAGAATCATTCTCTGGAGACAGACTAACTGTATATAGAGTTAAGATCCTTTCCCTAATCTCCTTTATGTTTCTAGATAACAGCTGAAGCCATCAGACCTTGATTTGTGTGGAAATTGATGATCACAGGGCATTTTTAGCAAAAGCAGATGTCTTAGAGTTTGTTTTTAGCTGAAGACTGACAAAGAATGTTCTAGGGGAAGGTGTCTCTGCCCATGGCAGGGCACTCAATGAGAGGGTTTTAAGGTCACTCCCAACCCAAACCATTCTGTGGAAATGGAGAATATGGAGTAGTTTAGAAAAGCGTCTGACTCCAATGTGTCCAGCCTGTGTCGCACTGGCTGCCGAGGGCAATGTGAGGAGCAGTTCAGACAGATGCAGAGCAATCTTTCCTCCTTTTCCTGAACTCCAGCAGCTTAGGGTTTAACCCTCGTACGTGACACTGTATCTGCCTTCCAAATGCTCCTTACTCCTGGCTGTAGTGACCCTAGGTATCATTATCCACAGAAATTACACTTTGGTTCTTGGGTTTCAGAAGCATTGTGTGGCAGGGAGTACTGTGGCCTCATTAGGCTCTCAGTGCATCCTCCATCCTTCCTTCTGTGCTGATCCACTTCTTGCTCATTGAGGATGGGGACAAGCACGTGCCCTGGGCCAGGGACTCCACTGTGCCTCCAGGTCACAGTCCTGCTCTCCTTCCTTCACCTGGCACTGTGTCCTTGTGCTGTCAGTGGGTGTAAAGAGAATTGAACCACCATTGCTGTAATTGCTATGGTTTATAATTAATAAAAATCAATTATCCAGACTTTTTTTTTTTCCCAGGAGCCCTTAGTGCTCTATTGTATTTACAGATGTCACAGTAAAAATGGGTGATCTCACTGAGCAGGGTGTTAGTGGTGATGTTATGCTGAGCTTCTGTTTTTAACTTGGGGAAAGAGCAGAGAAAACAAAGTTGCTTACTGAGGCAATAATCACCTCCTGTTAGAGCCATTTCATTTGGAAATACTCCCCCATGCTCAGGCTCAGGGGGTTTGAACGGAGGCAGCATGAATGTGGCTGAGGCTGTACAAAACCTTTTATCATAGGGCTGTGCCACATCCCCTCCAAGAAGGGCACTTGTACAGTCAGGGAGTTCATCAGCTCTTGGGCTCCAGTCAGAAACAAAGAGCTGCAACTGCAGCCTCCAGAGAATCGTGTCTTTGAGAACAGGTTTTTTCCCTAATGAACATTATACTTTTTTCTTTTTTTTTTTTGCATTAAAATTTGAAATGACATGCGTCTCATTTTTAAATCTACTGGATTTTCCCTAATGGAGAGGAGGGATAATGGAGACATCAGGGGAGATGTTTTAACAGCATGACTAATTGAGCATGGAGAGTGTGCCCAGGGTATGGTGGAGTTTCCATTACCGGAAATATTGATACCCAGGGTAAATGTCTCTTCTTAAGAGACTTCCTTTAGTTAAAATTAATTCTGTTCTTATATTCTAAGGAAGATGAAAGGAGGGTATCACAATGGTTCCCCCTCATGGTGTTACATTGCCTCCTAGTCTGGCACTGAAGGGATAACAATGAGTCTTTAGGAAAGGATGGGCTAACTCCCAAGAGTTGATGGATGCTCTCAGCTGGATCTGTGGCCAGTCCCAAGTCTCCAGGTGCATGCAGTAGGGGATCCACAATTACTCTTTCCTGCAGAACAGCCTGGAATTGCTGTGATGAGAGAGGCTTAATCCTGTTTTAGCATTGTGCTTTTTTGGGGCGTGCCTCCTTGGCAATCTCACTTCATAAATTGAGGCAGCAGGATTGCCAAAATCACAGGCAAGGAGCATTTTGGGCCTGTGACATGGTATCACCACATGTGAATCTACCAAGGATGTGGAATGGATGGCACAGAGCTCCTCTCGTCAGCCCCAAGCACAGCACATCTCCATCAGGTTTTTGGGATCAGCAGGAGGAAAAGAGGGAATGGACAGACATCTGTAGGTAAGGCAGATTGGAATGATGGAAAATGCAGAGCAGGCAGCATCTGTTATTATTGGGGTTTGTATATCACCCCATATTGATGTTTGCAGAAACAAAACCAGATTAATTTATCATTTCATTATCTTACAACACCCAGTTTCCAGCATTCCAGATCCCAAGGCCTGGAGTTTACAACTGGAACAGTGACAGGTTTATGATGCTCATTATCCCAGCTGGTCAGAGCACGGTGCTAATAATGCCAAGGCTGCAGGTTCAATCCCAGTATGGGCTATTTGCTTAAGAATTGGATTTGATGATCCTTGTGAGCCCCCTTCCAGTTCGGAATATTCTGTGGTTCAAATTTCTTCAGGAAGCAGGAATGTTTATCCAAGTGTAAGTCTGATAGGGAATGCATATCTGGGGGCGGGGCTGTTGTTTTCTAGTTTGTTTGGGGTTTTTTTTTATTAAATTGGTAATCTGCATTCCATTGGGGCAGGAGAAGGGAACAGCCCCTCATTCTTTTAACCTGTTGAAGTAACTTGAAATTTTTGCTTAGCTAGAATTCCTGGGTTCAAGAGCAACACAGTACAGGAACCAAGAGATGTAGTTGAGTTGTATTTTCAGTTGACATAAATCAGTGGGGAACCATTTATACCTCCTGAGCATCTGGCTGGAGATTACATGTCATCTTCTGTCCTCCCTGTGAGAGGCTCATCCCATGAACAAGGAATAGCCTTGACCTGGAGTTGTTCCCAGGAAAGGTCAAAGTCACACACAGCAGCTCCTGAAGAGCCACCAAGGGTGGGAATTTGCAGCTCTTGATGCCACATCCATGGGAAGTTCTTTATCTTTCTGTTTTGGAGCAGGAGGGGGAGAAGAGAGTGCTCCAGCAGCGGAGGCAGCAATGCCGTGGGTTTCCCACGCTGAGGGACAGGACTAGAAATCATTGTGTGGAGAGTATAACCTACTAGAAAGGCTAATGCTCGGGAACAATGGGACCTGTAATTGCAGATAAACACTGGGAAAGCCCCATGAATCATGAACCCATGAATTGAATTGTTACAAGCATTTTGGAGTGGAAAAGGAAGAGTCTTACCTGGTGAAGCCTGGCCTTGGTAGAAGAAGCCGTTCCCATCTATTATCTTTTGAGACAGACAAAGGGTGAAAGAAAAAGGGAAGAGAAGATAGAAACCACATATAAACAATAATTAATGCTCTCCAGGCTTCTTCTTCTTGGTCATGTTAAACCTTTAATCCCTGGGATTTAAGAGTGTTGTGGCTTTTTATTAATCTTCAGATAATAAATGTGTAAAGGGAGTGCTGGAGAAAGCCTTTGCATTCAACTCTTCCAGCATAACACCCTCCATCCCACTGGAATGCTGGTGCCCTGGTGTCCCTTCACTTAAGCTTACCTCCCCTGTGCTTTAAACTCTTTCCTTTCCTGTTTGCAGCAGGTTGAATGTCCATAGTCCATCATGTCACCTCCATGGAAAGGTACTAATTCAGGGAATGCGTATCTCCTTCATCCACACATAGAGAATCTGCGAATCATTAAGGTTGGAAAAGATCATTGAGACCAACCATCCTGACACTCTTCCAAAATCAGTGGTACTGCCCAGTGGAGGTAGCACAAGAGCCCCAGATGTGTCCCTGCCACGCAGGTGAAGCACTTGGCGACTGCTGGCAGGGAGAGCTGGAATGGATTTCTTCTCCAGCAATTACTGCTGCTCCTTGGCAAAGGGATGTGCTCCCTCACTTGAACCCTTGAGGTTAAACCTCATCATTCCTGAGTGTCATCCAGCACTTAAAGGTGCTGTCAAGAAGATGACACAAGAATTTGTTAAGAAACAAATGTTTCCCCTCACCCCCTGTTGTCCCTCAGGGCTCATAGGCACCCAGGCTCAGGAAGTGGTAATGAGAGGGAAGGAATTAAATCACATTCCAGCTGCCCCAGAGCCAGCACTGGGAACTGGCTCCTGCCTCTACCTGAGCTGTGTCCTCCACGGTGAAGAGGGGGAAGGCAAAAGCTCTGGGCATTTTTTCTGACTGTATCAACGTGTTTAACTGCAATTATTGTAATTTATGGGACCCCAAGAATCTCCAGTGTTTATTCCTTAACTCAGTTTTGCAGATGACTGGCTGAGACTTAACCTCACAGTGTTTCCCAACCTGACTCACTCTTGCAAGACAAAGATAATATCAAGATAATAACAGTTTTAAGAGATAGAAAATAGCACATTTCCATGGATATTTCTAAGAGATGAACATGCAAGAAGTGTTCATCCCATCAATAAGTAGGAGAGAGCCTGGGGAGGATGCTCAGCCTGAAAGGGTCTCCTCTTTCAGAAGCTTTGCTCTTTTTTTCACATGCAGAGCAAACCTGCGCAAAATACATTTTGTCCGGCAAATAATGATAGTTTGGGGTTAAGATTTATGGCATGGCTGTTAGTGTCTTGATGGCAGATATGCAAGGCTATTTAGCTGTTGCCAAAGGTGGAAATTCATAAAAATGATGGAAGACTTTCTTCCCCAGACAGCACAAAAGGTCATTTGTTTTTTTACTGAAGATCTCGTCAAGCCAGTAATGCTGTCAGTTTTTCTTTCCTCCCCTTTCCCTTGGAAGATGTGGTGTACATGACTTTGCTTCTCTGGTTTTGTGAGTTAGCAAGGGTGCAGGAAAAGTACTTCTTATTTGTTTTCTCTCCCTCTCTATTTGTATTTCTCCCCTGACATCTCTCACTCAACTTCAAAGCCTCCAGTCTAAGCACCTTTGTACCACTTTGCTCTCAGCTCCTTCCCAGGCTCCTTCCCATCCAACTACTTCACACCACTCTGAAATTTTTAGGTAGTTTTTGCCCATTGCTTGCTTAGTCCACGGGTTCCCTTCAAAAACAGGCACAGTATTTCTGTCAGGAAAAAATCCTAAAGTGGGTATTTCGGTGTCAGATAACAACAGTATTAATAAAAGGAATATTAATTGTAGTAGTAATGATAATAATAAAGGAACTTCACAGGAAATTGGGTGTTTTGGCTGAATTTTTCCCACTATCTGGGGTCTCAGGTGGAGCCTTGACAGGCCATGCCACATCCTGCCTGCCCAGAATTCCCCACTCACAGAGCCTGTCCCCAGATGGGAGCAGAGATAAACATGGGAATGAGCAAAAAACAGAGATGGCCCAGCCAGGCAAAATAAGGGAAGAAAAATCCCCGACAATCATTTTTGTTTTGGAAAAAACTGTTTGAAAACACGCACTGAAGAGCAAGAAAGCAAGATGGAGCTGATGCTTGGCAGCTCCTGGCATGGTGATGGGAGCACACATGGCCTCAGGATTTCAGCAAGGTCCCTGCATGTCAGGTGGAATTTTTCTTCTCATCTTTCATCACTGAGGATGCACACTGGCTTCCCAAAAAAATGATCTCCTGAAAGATAAGTGGCCTCTAGGAAAGGGGCTTAGCCCCATGCCTCAACCAGACCCTGCATCCACTTCCAGGAAAAGTGAGACTCACAGCAGCAGAATCAAAAAATCAGAAGCTCCCCCCTTTCCAATCTTCTTCTGCTCCAGCAGAAGAGGAGGGATGGCACAGACAACACTGGATGCTGGTGATGCCCCTCTGTCAAAACTTAACCCACCAAATACCAAATATCTCCAGCTGTGAAGTGTTGTGTCCTCTCTTTTCACAGGGGCTCCTTGTGGCTTTCAGGCTCATTTAATCCATTAAATAATTGGAATTGCTTCATTAGTAGGCAAGAGAGAGCAAATTAGGGATTTCTTAACCTTTTCCCACAGCCACTGGATGTATAGTGGCTTATCTGGGCAGAACCAACATCAGTCTGGGTGGGCTGGAAAGTGCAGCCATGTCAAGTGTGTGCTCTAGCACAGAGGAGTTGGTGTGGGGTACTTGATCGCACCATCCCAAAACCCCTCTGTGAGGTGAGCTGGGAACAGTGAATGGATTCTTCTTGAGCAGTTTCTTGGAAACTGCAGTCAGAATGTGCTGTGGAAGATGGGAGAGGTTTGGAGAAACAACCCAATAACAATAACCCAATAACAACTTCAGGTAAGACCTTTTTAAGCAGAATTATTTCAGGTTCTGGCCCCAGTGCTTCAAGTCTCATGTTACAATGATCTTTAAAGAAAAAATGGAAGAATTACGCTCTAAGTGAGGAGAAAAAAAGGGACTGATGGGTAAAACCTAGTTTTCTGTGCAGTGTCTGTGTCAGAAGATGCCATGATGGCACTAACTTGGTATCAGGAGTGATGGGCCACTGCAGGTTTCTTGTTCTAGAAGACTCAGGGTCTCAGTGGGTAAAGCAGCAGGAGAGAAGGAAGCCTGGAAAAATTATTCCTGTAAAGCCATGCTCCAAAAGAGGGCTCCAAGACATGAGTACCCCCAGGTTTGGTCAGGTGCCTGGAGCATGAGACCAGAAGGAGAGGACACAGTTCTTTGTTGTGTGGGTGGTCCCCACAAGGAGAAGGAATAAGGTAAATACAGCATCAGCTGCCCATGCCATGTCCTTCTTGATCATAGCTTTCCTGCCAGGGAGAGGGGATGGGAAGAAGCTCTTGAAGGATCTCTCCTTTGCCTCACCACTTCCCTCTCTGGTGTGATGGACATTCATTTTCCAACCAAACTTTTGGGACAACCATGTCTTTATGTCTCTTTCCCCAAACCTGCACACCAAACCTCTGTTCTTCAGAGGCCAGGTGAGAGCCAGGAAGATCTTCCCTGAGGCATGGAAACCCTGAGTAGATCTCTAGCCCTGCCTGCTCCTGGATGCTTTCTGATAAAATGTTTTAATAAAAGATCTGTCAATCACATATTACTGTTAAAGAAAAAAGGAATGAAAAGTAATTAGGACCCTGAGGCCAAAGGGGTAATGTAAAAAAAACCCCAAATCTACAACCCAACCAACAACACAGGGATTGAGAGACCCTAAGCTTGAAGCTGAGCTTCAGAATCCGTCTGTGAATTATTTTCTTGTCCAAAATCCAGAGGGGTCCATGATTCATAGCCTGGTCCTGCTCTACAAAAGCAGCTGGTAGGAGGTGATTCAGGTGTTAAATCCTTTCTCTGTCTGCCACCATCGGGTATGAGCTGGGAATGGAGCAGTGGGAGGAGAGCCAGGAATGAGTAAAGCATCCCGAGTTGGAGCTGATCATAGCCCAGAGCTGTTGTTCCCACTCGGGCAATGGTCCCACAACACGAGGCCTCTGCCATTCTATTTGCTGTATGTCGAGAATAGGTATTTATCCAGAAGTCCTTGGCTCTAAGAGTCATGGGATCTCCTGAGAGCCTTGTTTCCTGGGAGAAGTGAAGTCAATAAATCAGAACATTTCTACCTCTTGCAGTAGGTGGGAAAATCTGGAAAATTGCTGTCTATGAATGAAGAACTTAGGAGACAACCTTTATTGTGTTCAAGTTCTGGTCGCTTTAAAGCTGATCTCATTCTCTGTGGCAATGAGTCACAAGGGCTTGAATTTGTGTGGGTGGCAATTAAAAAATTTCCTCTGAGTAAGGAGAGAGGGGCTTGGCAAAGTGGGCTCTTGGTGCTTTCTCCTCTCCTCCCACACTGGGACAGCATTGCTCCCAGAGGTGGTTGAGTGAATCATTTCTCCTTTTAATGGCACTTCTGCATCTCCATTGCCCATCCCCAGCTAATTATTGCTTAAAACCCATTTTGCAGAACCCTTCAAAAATTATTTTTTGCAAAAGGTTTTCTAGTAGGAGAGGAGTTTGCAGGCTGGGGGGGCAAGGTGGGGGGTGTTATTCTCACTTTCCCTCTTGGCCAGGAGCATCTCCTCCATCCATGCAGTTAATTCAATGGTGAGAGAAAGAAAATTCTGCTGGGGTAGTTAATCAAAATTCAGGGCTCATGTGGGCTCTATATCTGTCCTCACTGCACCTCAGGCAGTTCCACTATCAGTTCATAATGTGCCTCATCCTGTGAAATACAAACTTGGGTGGAGCTTCCCTTTTCACCCTTTTGATTGTTCATCTGGAATCCCAGAGGACTGGAAATGAAACACATTGGCTTAAAGTGATGTTCCCCAGATCAGTAACTGTATCCTGGGAGGATTCCCTGGGGCAGTTTTCCACCAGGTGGGAAGAGGGATGTGCCTCTCTGCTGCGCTGACCCCTGTGAAGGCAAGCACATGCTTGAGTCACTCACTTACCTTTATTTGTGTGATTGAGTGTAATAAATCACGCTTGTCTTTCCCAAGCTCCCCCATGCAATCCGGACACTTTTCCATCCCATTTTAAAGCCTGGAGCTGAGCTCCCATCAGCCTGCACTGCCTGGGGGTTCATTTTACCTGTTGACAGACATCTGCATTGGCAGCACTCACCCCTGGCTGAAGGTGAAGGTTCCACCTTCTGCCTCGCTGAAAGGTGCAAAAGGGAAAGGACTTGTCCTTTGAGAAAAAAATAGACTCTACTCAGCTTCTTGGAAAGTAATTTCTATTGACAAATAGAAACATTAAAGCAGGTCATTTATTCCTTGAAGAAATCAATATATTGGGTAAAATTCCCACTGTCTGT